CAATGTGTGCAGTAGAAAGAGGCACCTACTGAAACAGTAGGCAAAAGAGGAGTGAATGAGAAATGCTAATGTTTCAGACAAGTGTACTCAGGAAGGAGTTGCACTGAATTCCCTCAGACCTACTCCCAGGTAACTGCAGACTTTCCATTTGTCTAAAAATCAAACCATACCTTCAAAGATGGCATTTAAATAAGTTGTAGAAAACCCAGACAGAATGCCTGGGATACCCTTAATGCAAACCTAGCACATCAATGTGGTGAAAGATATTTAATTTGGTTGTAAGACCAATTCAATTAAGGCACACATTCTTGATAATTAACTCTTGAAGCCATCATGTGGCATCCCAGGAGATGTCTTCAATCTCTGTGAGTTTTCCATTTGTACTATTTGTTTAAAATCCATTATACAATAAGAGCTACTCCACTTCTCCTAAGCTGCTAGAGAGCCTGTATTAATGTTGTCTTTAATTTTATGAAAGGGCTATCATTTTTTTTAAAAAAAAATCAGTATTGCATGTACACACTGCTTTCTCTAAAGTACAGCTTCTAATTTACGATCCAAACTTAGAGACTAGGCTCCATGAGGCATACATCCAAGTAAGCTCAAAATTGCTATTTAGACACCCTTTTGCTTCTTTTCCCAGCCACAATTATTTTATTATGATCCTATTAGCACAGCAGTGTCTGTCACCTCTGTTCCTCTCCCCTAACATTGGCTATTATGATAAGAAACATCAGCATCATCAGCTTTCACACATAGAATTGCTCACATATCAGCATGCTGCTCATAGAAATAGTTCTCCCTTCAGAAATTACCTCCATTGTTTTCCCAAACCACAGGATCAAGGTAGGCCACATTTAAGGTCTTTCCCACAGGAAGTTCTGTGAATTCATTCATCGACACAGCATATAGAAAAGAAACTATTAGATCCAGTTAAAACATCAGATCATGTAGGAAACCTTGTAAGAAATTATCTCTCTCTTAAGTTTACTGAACAATGACACAAGATGTAAACCAATCCCTTGTAAGTACCCACAGCTTGCATCTCATAGAATCATAGAATCATAGAGTTGGAAGAGACCACAAGGG